GAAATCTTTTTCCATGGGTCTGCACTGGTTGGCAAGGTGAAAATACAAGTCCTGGCTGCCTCCTGATTCTGGACACATCCCCTTTCTTTGCCATGCCATCCTAGTTCAGTCCTTTTAGCCTCCAATCTCCAGTCAGGTAGAAGGCCAGGAAGTAGCAGAGGTTGGAAGAAGGTAGAGTTTAGTGATGGTGAGCATTTTAGAGACCGAGTGCTCAAACTGCTTCCCAAAATCCACTTATTTATTGCAAAGTGCCAACACGGCAATATAACCTGAATACTGAGGTTTTAGTTTAGAAAAAAAACAACTCATACATTAACATCTTTTGCCTTAAAAGAAAAACACAATAACAAAGCTTTCAATGATACAAACAACTTTTTACTCAAAGGTAAAAGTTTGCATTTGGCATGCTTTTGAACAATTAATGTGATTTTTGCTGTTGTATACATGCTGATATTTTGTCAAACCTTGGCTCACACTTTGTAAGTTTAAGAGCAACACATGCAGCACTCAGGTCATCTATTAATCTGTTTCTGGTGTCAGATTTGATATAATTTAAAGCAGAAAACAGCTGCTCACAAGCATAAGATGATCCAAACAAAGTAAGGAAAGCAATCCCAAGTGCTTTCATTGACTTAAAATTATTTGGCAGAGAATTCCACACTTTAAGGATTTCATTTTCAGAACTAACTGTGCTGTCCTTTGTCATCCTTGTTTTTGCAGGATTGCTCTCAATAAGAGCAAGGCATGCTTTGGCTCCGTTTTTGCCAGGAAGGGACTTGGGAAATGGCTTTTTCCTGGCAAAAACAAGGCTCTGAGCCCTGATGCTGGCAGAGTGAGGCAGTGGAGGCCACAGCAGACCTTTCCCCATCTCTCCTTGCTTCCCCAAAGCCTCCCTTCACTAACCTCCTTTCCAGCTCTGTTCTCCACCACCACATGCAGGGTAACAAAAGAAGCTTGTGGGATTACCGGTTAAAAAATAATTAACCACACCTTCCAACTTTGCGAGATCTTTTTTTCCCCGCAAGAAGTTGGAAGGTCAGATTGATCTCTTTTTTTAGTCCCACAAACTTCCTTCATTGCCCTGCACACAGAGAACGGAGCTGGAAAGGAGGTTAGTGAAGGAATGTAGTTGCCCTGGGGGTGGGAGTTAGGATTTGGCATTGTGGATGCCCTGGGGTGTGGTGCGGGTTAGGGTTTTGGCATTGTGGTCTGTGGAAGTGTTTGTGCTCTGGTGGGGCTATTCAAAACGCAAGGATTCCCTGCATTTTGAAGCAACCTGTAACAAGTTCTCATCACTCTCTTCTATCACATTTTGGAATCTTAGAAAATATGATGCGCGTTCAAAATCCATCATTGCCATACTGTCTTCCAGCTCCGCATTAGATTGCGCCAATCTCTGATTTTCATCTTGGAGCGCCTCTAATTTCTGGTCTACTACTACTGACTTGTCTTCAATATTTTGCATTCTTTGTTGAATATCTGACATTGCCTGTTGAAAGGATTCCATTTTTTGATCCATCTTAAGCAAATCATTTTTCAAATCTTCAAACTCCTTTTTCATTTCCATTCTAGAATCTACAATTGCCTGGAGAATGGCTTATGTATCCTTCTGCTGTGTGCCTGGTTGTAAAAATGTTGTAATCGATTTTTGAAGTGCTGGACTAACTGAGGTTGATGCAGGAGCCAAGGAACCCTTTCTCACCCCTTTCGCCAAGTTTGAAACACTCATCTTCATTATTATATTTATTTATAATCCATCAACAAGCCCGATGGCCCAATTAATTGTAATCCAAAAGTAGGGCCCGATGGCCAGTTATATTCCACCAAAAAGCTCAAAAAAGAAAAAAGATAAAAAAGAAAACACACACACACACACACATATATAAAAGAATATATATATATATATATATATATATATATATATATATATATATATATATATATATATATATATATATATATATAATCCAAAAGCCTCAGTAAAAAATAAAAGTGAGCGTAAAAATATCCAACAATAGTAATATCAAAATGTAGGAGAAAATATAAAAAGGGATAGCAGATCTCTGGGCAAAAAAAAAAATAATAGAAAAAAGGAAAGATAAAAAATATATGTTTATGTCCACACAGCAAGGCTGAGAAAAAAGGAGTAACAATAAAAAAAGAGAGAAAAAGAATATTCAATTTATAATCCAAATAGAAACATAAAAGATTTCTTCTATGGTTCCCTTATTTTAAAAAGAATAAAATAAATCCAAAAAGGGAATCAGACACCAAGCAAAGCCAAAACAAAAACAAAAAATAGAAAACAGTCTCTCTTAGTAATCTCTAAACGAGGTAGGAATGTCTGGGCAGTCAGCCAAGTGTCTGGGCATTGAGCCAAACTCCAGAGCTGAATCAACAATGATAGTGTAGCAAAAGATAGTGTAGCAAAAGAACAAAGGAGAAAAATTGCAAAAATAACCACCAGGTGACGCTGTTTCTTCCCTCACCGTTTACATAGGGAGAAAGTAAAAGAAAAAGAGAAAGTTCCAGCAATAAATACAAAACAAATTCAAAAAAATTCTTAAAAAAGAGCAATTAAGGTGGCTTTTCCCAAATAAGATAATAATAAATCTTTCTTCCCCTCTATGATAAAAAAAAGCTGGTTCCTTCAATATAGCTTCAGTTCAAAAACTTTTCAAAAGTTTTAAAATGCTGAAACTGCCGCTTTTTGGGAGGGGGGAGAAGAAAAAATCCCCCCTCCTCCTCCCCTTAGGCTTCCAGCTTATCGCTAAAGGCAGGCAATTTTCTAAAGGGTCTGATTTGCAGCGAAAACTAATATCATCTCACCTGGATCAGTTGCTTGTTTCCTTAAACAGCTGACTCCTGTCTCCGATGATCTGCTGAAGATGGCGGCAAACGCAAAGCTCTCCGCCTTTCTCTCGCCGATTCCAGAGGCTATTTTGAGTTCGGAGAGCCGGCTACTGCCGGCTCCCTTTCCTCAAAGAATTCACCTCTTGGTGGCCACCCCTCCAGGTTGGCATTCAGCCTTAATGGGCCCGCCAGCGACAGAAACTTGGACCCTGGGCA